GCTTTTCAGGTTCCCGTGTTAGCAACTCTCCCGCCGAAAATTTTCACGGGCCCGTATGTGAGTATTGCGCGTACTTGGAGGCTGGATTTGAAATCTTTAAGTTTTACAGGGAAAGGGAACATTTCCTTGGAATTTCAGCTTTTTAGTTTTTTTTGGTTCCTGAGCTAACAATTTTCTCGGGGAAACTTTCGCGTTCCTTCACGTGAATGCTTCAAGGACGTGAGTGATCATTTTGAGAATAGGGGCCTGTACGTAGGTGTAGACGAAGTTTCCAAAATTTGCAGCCTTGTAGCTTTTTTGGGTCTCGAGGTGAAAAATCGGTACAGACACACATACGGACACAGGCAGACACAGACGGTGACAACCCCTCGACAGAGTGCGTTTTTGCATTGTATAGATGCAAAAAGCGTATGACGCCGGCAAGGCTGATGAATCGCAGCCTAGATTTAATGAGTGACATTCCGATTTACAAGGTGTATGGCATGATTTTCTGGTCCCCGAGTTGATAATTTTTCTGCCAGAAATTTCCACCGACCCGTACGTGACGGCCACGCACGTCGGGAGCCAAATCTGAAACTTTTAATTTGTACTTGGGCTGGGGCTTCAATCCCTCTCCCTTCTGATTCTCGAGTTAGCAGGTTTTCCTGTCAAAACCTCCACGTACTCGTATGCGTGGCCCAGACGCGCGTGAAGGTTGGTGCTGCAGCCCTGGATGGTACATGACTCGAGTTGCCGACTGAAATACCCGAACAGGCGCACATATACACACACAAACTCACAAATATATGCACACATACACGAATACCTTGGGTCGTCAGAGTATGCGCTTTTGCACTTGCATATGTACTAGGGAAGTTGAGATTTTAGAAGCACATTTCCACGCAATCTACCACCGTCCTGTACATTTAAGTTTCACATATGAACGCTTAAAACAAAGCGTGTAAATTTTTGACGAGAAACGACTTTGGAAACTAGACAAGATGAAGCTCATCGTCGGCATGACGTCAACACTGAAGATTAGCTGGGAAAGAATAGCTGAAATTTTGCAGGAATATTTGCTGCAAATATATATGAGAGCTCGTACACCTAAATTGAGTTTTGGATTGCACCTACGCTACGCATAAAGGCAGATCGAATATATTTGTAGCGAAGCCGCAATTTTCCGAACTAGTAGACCCTGGAAGCTGAAATATTTCCTAACTGTGCGAGAGTTGAAGATTTTAAATTCGTGTCTGAGGAGTTTCCAGGTCTTGCATGAGCTGCAAGCAAAACTTCAAATCTGGACAACATGAGCACTCATTACGCGTTTTGTGCTGTGTAAGCGGCAGAAAACGCATGTTGTCACGCCCTTGTCTGTGTTTATGTGTGCATGTATGTATTTGTCCAAGTGCATTTTGTTCCGCACTTTCAAGTCGGGAATTGCAAAAGCTAGGAAGCTGAACTTTTAGTAGAATGTCCCCTCCTCCCTTGCACGTGCGAACTCGCGAATTTAAATCAGCCTTCGTATACCTTCGAGTACCACATACGACTCTGCGAAAGTTTTTGGTGGAAGAAATTGTTATCTCGGGAACCACGAAAGCCAGGAAGCTGAAGTTTCAGGTGGATGTCTCCTGGTCATGTACGATCCCATAAATTTAGATTCAGCCCTCCCGTGCGCTTGGGTACCACGTACAATACTGTGAAAGTTTTGGTGGGAAAATTATTCTCTCGGGAACCAATAAAGTTAAATTTTAAGACGATGTCCCTCCCCCCCCTCCCCCCCACATACGACCCAAAGCAAATTTAAATTCAGCCTTCCCGTGAGCATAACTACCACGTACAGCCCAATGGGAATTCTGACAAAGAAAATTATTGTCTCTGGAGCCACTGAAGCTAGGAAGCTGAAATTTTACGGCACGTACGAACACGTAAAAGTTTTTGCGCAAAAGTCGCTCGAGAACCGGAAAAAACAAGGTTGAAATTTTGGAAAGATGTTCACCGTCTAAGGTTTTAAATTCAGCTTTCACGTATGCTTACGTTTTATGTGCCGGTGCATGAAATTTCTAGTGGGAGATCTTGATACATAAGAACGGGACAAAATTTCGATTGTTTTTGCATAAACCAAACTGAAAAACAATGGAAATCCTTAGCAGGCAAACGTCCGTTGGGCGGAACTGCACAAAATGTCCTGAAAATGTTTACTTTCGTTAATACGTGAAATGAGCTCCTGCTTATGTATGTGCTTCGAGCATGGGTGGATGAAGTCCTCGAACCACAACATTTGCCATTATTCTGCCTTAACAATCAAACAACCAGGAAAGTAAAAATTTTACAAAAATGCCAATGTGTCTCGTGCGTCGCCAGAAGCGTGAAATCACTTCCGTGACTGTCTGGGAATTGAGAGTAAATTTTACCGACAACATCTACGTGCGGAATTCACGGGAATCATGCGTGCTGGAGGCTAGGATTTCATGCAGCTCCACTGTGTAGCACTTCGTCCCAGCTTTTAGCCGTCGCCTTTTTTCTGCCCCATGCAATAGAAGGCAAAACTAGTGCTGTCGAGCGCACATGTGCAGTGAAGCAACAACCAATTTTCAAAGATTTTCGCCGAACGCGTGGTCGCACCGACATCTGTGTTAACAGATTTTTCCGATCCCCGTCCTTGGGTATTCTAAATTCTTCCGATTCGAAATTTCCTAATATTTGCGATCGTTCCGCACGATTTTTATTGTGTTTAGAAATGTTGCGCGCACGAACTTGGTTGCGATCCTTCGTTCTGGTGGACCGAACGGCTTCACTTTGCATATCGAGTGCAACCAAGGCTGCTTTTATAGAAGACGGTGATGGTGTGATGAGATTCAGGAGTGACCCATATTGCAAGCCAGCAAGGCAGTGCTTTCTATGCGCCAAGAAGATTGAACTCAATTACAAAAATGCTCGATTGCTACAGCAATTCGTTTCCACATTTTCCGGACGAGTCTACGACCAGTAAATCATACATCCTTGTTTTCTGTTCATTTTACCTTCATTTTACAAATGAAATTTATCAGGGCACAGTAATTTGTATGGTGATAAGCCTAATTTTTCAGGCACATCACTGGACTTTGTGATGGGCAGCAGAAGAGACTTCTTGAAACGATTGCTCTGAGCCGACGTGCCGGTTACATGCCTGTGTTTGTTAAAGATCCCAAGTACTTGAGAGACCCAAAGCTTTTTGATCCACTAAGACCAATTCGTCCTCACAGTTATGCATAGGATTGATCTCTAAAGAATAGTTCTGTCTTGTTTAAATGGCCTTATTAGTCTTGATGTGCCTGTGCCAGGTTTGAGCGTCGTTATTTTATTATTTGTCAGTGCTCTTCTATTTTAAGGGCTAGGAAATCGAAAGCCTTCTCACATTTCCTTCAAAAGTAGTATCGGAGGTGCTGCGGGCTAAATGATCTATTCATAGCACACGTTTAGTGCAGTGGTTTTTGGTAGGTCCATTGCAGTATACGTGTGCCATGAATATCAGGATAACTCGGACAGCTGACGAAAGGCCGGTGCTAGTGATGGTACTGATTATTTCCCA